TTGGCTACATCTAAAGTGCAGGAGATTGCAATGAGCAGTATTAATGTTACAATGTCCAGAGCTAATTTTCATATATAGAGGCACATTTTATATTATTATATATAACTGTTCTGACACTATTTCATAAAAAAAATATGTATATAACAGATCTCTATTATTTATATTTTTATCGAATCATGGCACGCATTTTTATATATACATAATATGTGGATTGATTTAGGGTTGGGTTGGGTTGGGTCAAGCCAAGTAAGAATATATATCTATATCTATATAAAATATATGATTGGATTTGGTGTTGAGTTAGGTCTTGAGGGTGAAGAAATGTTTTGATATGAAACATGTATATAAACTTTTCTATACATATTTCATACAATAATGGGTTTCATTTTATGACCTGACCGAATCAAACCCAACGCGAAATTCAATCATATAGTTTATATATACATATAGATATATATTCATACTTGACCCAACCGAACCCAACCCAATCCTAACTTAGACTTCAATTTCATTTCTATATTATTTTTTTAATTAGACGAACTGTCTATGATTATCCTTAAAAGCATTTGATTAAATTTTCATGAAATTTCTTCTATAGTCACTTTATTTGAATTTCCTGGATAGCGGAATTTACCATCGCATGATGGGTGTGGGTGTGGGTGTGGATGTGGGTATGGGTGTCGGTGTGAGTGTCGGTGTGAGTCTGGGTCTGGGTGTGGGTCTTCCCTTTATTATTTATACCCACACCCACACACACCCACCCACACCCACACCCACACCCACACCCACACCCACACCCACACCCACACCCACACTCCCTTCGAGAGTAGAGCACGTTTTGAGACGTTGTGGATTGATATCCTATGGCTTGTGGGTGTAGCGTCTTAATAGGCGTGAAGTAGTTTCACGGTCTGCTTGGTGCGGGGTTCACCTATGCATGAAACAGTGTCGCGTGATCCGGTCATTATTTTGGTTCTTTTAAATATATCGGTGAGTTAAGTGGATGCGACTTGTGTGGGGTTATTTGCGTCTATAAATACAATGATTTTCTTTTGTTATGGAGTTTATGACGTCATTATGTTTTTCAGTGTTTTAAGCATTGTTTTAACTTCTTCTGGAAGCTATTGCAAAATTTGTGGAGTAGTTTACGTTTAGTCCACGGTGCTCTCGATTGTTTTTCAGTACCGATTACCATATGCACTTCTGGCCTGCTTTTTTTCTGGTAGTTGTTTTTCAATGTATGGTGAAGTTTTTCATAGTTCAAAGTTGAAACTTGAAAACTCAATTTTGTTCAAGTTTCAAGTTTGATATATGTGGTATTTATCGTAGACAATCACTTAAGATTTAATCAAATCATTTTTACGAAATATTCTCAATGTTGATCAGATCAAAGTTAAAATTTGTTCTCCTTAATAAGCCCCAAAAAAATCGAACTATTCTTCAGATATACCATAAATCTCGCTATGACATAGATACAAACAAAATTAATCTTTTTGTGAAAAACATAGAAATTTTGTCAACTACAGCATGGAAGTGACAATGCACATGTTCGGTTAATGATATGGAAGTTTCTTTCTGTGCATTATTCTATATATCTAATCATTAAATAAATGTTAGTCATGTCTAAATACATTTATTTGCGATGTTCATTTAGACGCGACTCAAACAATAAATTCATGTAGCTGTTTTATAAGAACATATATTTTAGTATTTATTGAGAAACTATTCGATTGAAGAACATATCTAAATGCATTTTATATAATGTAACAAATGACTCGTTCAATTCATAATTAATAACTCAGATGTGTCAAAATGGGAAGAGTACAATTGATTAGTTTTTTCTGATTTCAACACGTTTTCTAGAAACGGTTTTGCATATTGTACAAATTTTATTCGATACTACTTTATTTTTAATAGTTATCATCATAAGCAAACAAAGTTATGTATTTGTAAAAGTACTACTTAGTTTTTTCCAGTTTAGAATAAATTGAATCGGTATTGTATGAATTTTGCTTTTAATTACAAAGCTTGATAATTATCAACAATGAACATAAGCGTAAGAAATTGTTTCGTTTTTGTATGTTCGTCACCGAAAGTTTTTTGAACGATTCTGTGAGCTTCTGAATAGTATTTTTTCGCTTCATCCAATTTCACTTGTTTTTCCGTAGATTCTTGATTGTCTTGTTGATTCTTCGATTTATTATCCATTTCGGCTACTATTTTCATGCAAATATCACCCAAATTGGCATAGACATCACATATGTCTATATGATCGATGCCTAATGTAGCCAATAAAATCTGTAGACCTTGTTTGTGATGTACATAAGCCGTATCGTAATCATTCATCATTGCATAAACAAGACCAAGAGAATTAAGAAAAATTCCGTATTTATAATGTTGGTCATTGAACTCTTTTTTGATGATGGCAAGTGCTCGATTAATACAAACAATGGCTTGTTTATAATTGCCTAACAAGGAAAGAATAGAATAAAATACAAGTGTCAAATATGTTTCTGTTTTATTTTTTTCGAACTAACCGAGTTGATGTTGAACTTGTCCAATATTGTGAAGAATTTCAGCTGCTTCTGAATGTTCGGGACCAAGCGTTTTTTCAATTATTTTCAAAGCTCGTTGATAGACATGTAGAGCATAGTCGTAGTTATTTCTTTTACGATGACTATCTGCTAGATTATTGTAATAGATACCCAATTTATAATGTTCTTGATTAGGACCGAATGTATCTCGGACAATTCTCATTGCTCTTTCAAAGAGTTCTTCTGCTCCATCGTAATCGGCTTTCTTCATTAATACGAGACCCATTGAATTGAGCACTTCAGCTACTTCAATATGCTTTGGTCCTAATGATTCTTGCAATGCTGCTAATGCTTCCTTATATGTGACTTCAGCTGTTTTGTAATCACCTCGCTAATAAAACAAATCATTGCAAAGATAGAGTTTTTATTCACACAGACGAGTCTTTGTTCGATTAAACAAGTAAATTTTCTACAGATACTATAAAGCGTTTCAATCGATTGCTTATGTCTAATGCGAATCAACGAAACCATTCAAAAAACAATTAAAATGGACGACATAACTTCGAGATTTCAATGCTACAATCTAGTTTCGATTAATTGAGAAATAGCATCTTCTAATAAATCACAGTTGACTTTG